AAAAACAAAAAAAAAAAAAAAGGATTTTTTTTTTTTTTTTAGAAAATCTTTTGCAGTTTGCAGGGTTGTTCCTGTATATGCTTTGCTCCACTAGTACAGCCATCTCACCTGAAAGGAACAATGTGAGTGATCCCATTCAGCATCTGTTCAGGAAGCTTTCTTAAAACAGGAAAGCAAGGAGAGCAGCTACGCTATTGTAACAACATGTAAATCTTTCCATGTGCATTCCTCTGAGCCAGCTACAAGGTAAAGAAGTGTTGTTCCCTTCAGCGTACAGATGAAGGGGCTTGGGCTGACAGTATCGTTTTGATCTCGGTTGCCACACCAGTAGGTAACTCGTGCAGATTCGTGCTGATCAAACTTCCTCCCCTCGGGTGGCTGCTTACTGGCCTGAGACCAGATCCCAGGGAAGTGGAGCGGGGCTCAGGAAACGAGCTCCCTGTACTTGGCAATGCTGGCAGATTTTGCATGTTGATGTAGCTGCCTGGGTATTTCTAATCCGTGTTTTCAGATGTAAGTGATAAAGGGTTTGCTAGCTTTTGCTTCAGATGAGCTCTACGCTTAGACAGCTCACATAGGTAGACCTGTGTTTTCAGCTGCTCTCTGGGCTCTGTGTCACAGAGAGCACACTTCCGATTCACACAGAAAGCAGGGAATAAGGTATTTCCTCCCCAAACTCACCAGATGTACTCTTGAAATCCAGAATGGGTTTTCTGAGAATATACAAGTAAATTGTCTAATTTTGACCTTGAAGTCAATTAAATATTGATATCTTCCAAGTAATTTTAAGTTATTTTATTTGTTTCAAATGGTCTTGGTGGTGGACTAACAGAGACTCTTTCTTCTAAAACGATTGAAGTTAATTTAATCTTACCCACAAGTTATCTGTAATTGAACTGTTTTACTGATAATTTTTCTATTTAGTTGCTATGACTATATGGGCTGCAGCAGGGTCAGGTTAGCTTGCGCAGGTGAGAAATGAAACAATTGTTTTCATAGAATCATAGAATCATTGAGGTTGGAAAAGACCTCTAAGATCATCGAGTCCAACCGTCAACC